CAAGATGGCGCCTTCGGTTCAGCGACCGGCACGAAGAATGCGTGAGGACTTCTGCTCAAGATGGCGCCTTCGGTTCAGCGACCGGCACGAAGAATATGCATGAGGACTTCTGCTCAAGATGGCGCCTTTAGCGACCTGCAGGAAGAATGCGGGAAGACTTCCGCTCAAGATGGCGCCTTCGGTTCATGCTCCAACACGACCGCTCTGCTCCAGATAGTGACAGCTGAGAGGACAGAGTAAAACCCACAACAAGATGACTATTTCAACGGACCAGGAACAGAAGAGAGAAGCAAGGAGTGGGTAAGGCTGGAACCAGGGGTCTCCCGGGCTCTGAGTCTAGAAGTGGGATGTGGTATGTGTTACAGGAGCTAAAGTTTCTCAAAATGTTCCGGGAGAACAGAGGCAGTCTTACTGCTCCGAGCAGAAGGTTAGAAACAAACAGACAAAGGTTGCCAACCTTCTTCCTCACAGAAGGCAGCGGGCCTAAGGATACAAGAGAACAGAGACGCAGCTGTGATTAGGTCGTTATGGTGGATAATGTTCAGATTCTCTGTCTTTACTGATTTTTTTTTTTTTAAATTAGTTGTCCTGTCATTTGCTGAGAGAGAAGTGGACTCACTTCTCCCTATTCCTCCCACTAAGTACAGGGAAAGAAAACCAACACCCTGGATGTTACATATTACATAAAACAAACATAAAGGGACTGATAGGCAGAAAGAGGAAAATGGACTAGCCGAGGACCACAGGACCTGGGGCACGGCACAGCGGGTGGTATCAGCGAAGGCCTAGTGGGGAGTCTGAACTTCCATTCTCACCTGGAAGTAGCAAGATGGCACCCACCTTCCCCTGCCACCACGGTGTCAGAGGAGGCCTGCTGAAGCACAAGGTTAAATAAGATCCAGAGTCTCACAGCATAATATCCAGAAAACAATAAAAAATCACTCCTCATACCAAGAAACAGGAGAATCTCAACCTGAATGCGAGAAGACAATCGACAGACACCAACAGAGAGATGACTGGGTTGTTGGAATTATCTGACAAAGATTCTAAAGTAGCCATCGAAAAGTGTTTCAATAAGCAATTAAAAACACATTGAAACAGATTTTAAAAAATACAGATACAAAGTCTCAGCAAAGAAATAAAATCTCAACAGAGAATAGAAGATGTAAAGAAGAACCAAATGGAAATTCTAGAATTGAGAAATACGGTAACCAAGATAAAAAAACAAAACAAAACCCACTGAATAGGCTCAACAGCAGAATGGAGGAAGAATCAGTGAACCTGCAGACAGAACAACAGACGTCAGGCACTCTGAACAACCAAGAGGAGACAGACGGCAACAAAACGAACAGACTCTCAGAAACCCATGGGACTGTAACAAAAGACCTAACATTCGTCTCAACAGGGGCCCAGAGGAGAAGAGAAAGAGTTTGAGGCTGAAACCGTACTCAAGGAAATAATGGCTAAACACTTCCTAAACTTGGCAAAAGACACAAACCTACAGATTTAAGAAGCTGAGCGAACCCCAAACAGTATAAACCCAAGAAATTCATGCCAAGACACATCATAAAGTCCTGAAAACTAAGCACAAAGAAACCACCTTGTTGGCAGGAAAGAGAAACAACGCCAGGTGAACTGACAGGGGAAAAACAATTAAATGATTGGACTTCTCATCAGAAACCACGGAGGCCAGAAGGAAGTGGCACACGTTTTTCAAGAAATGAAAAGATAACTTCTTGCTGCGTGCTGTCAAGTCGATTTCAACTCATGGTGACTCCACGTGACAGAGTAGAACTGCCTCATAAGGTTTCTTTGTTGAAATCTTTACGGAAGCAGGTTGCCAGGTCTTTCTCCTGGGTGAGTTCAAACGGCCACCCTTTCAGTTAGCAGCCAACTGCTGCACCATCAGGGCTCCTGGAAATACCCTTCAGGAATAAGGGGAAATGAAGACATTCTTAGATGAAGGAAAACCACAATAATTTGTCACCAGCACATCTATGTTGAAAGATTGGCTAAACCAAGTTCTCTGAACAAAAAGGACATGATAAAGAAACAGGAATTTTAGAACATCGGGAAGAAAAAACAATGGGAAGAGGGAAAATATGAGTAAATATAATAGACTTCTTGAGTCTTCTAAATTACATTTGATAGAGCAAAAATTAGAATACCGTGCGATGTGGTTTTCAATGTACGTAGAGGGAATATTTAACATAATAAGCACGGGAGGGTGAAGAGAATTAGAGAGGTGAGGTTTCTATACATCACTCAAGTTGGAAGGTTGACCCTAGCAGACTGCTAAGTTACGTATGTATAAAGCAATACCTGGAGTGACCACTAAAAAAACTGTACAAACAGATCCACTAAAACACATGACAGATAATTCAAAATGGAGCCCTAAAAAATGTTCAGGTAACACAAAGGAAGGCCAGGGAAAAAAACAACAGAGAAATGAAACTGACAGGCAACAAAGAGAAAACGAGAGACCAACACAGCCAACTTAAGACGCAGGACTCCCAGCAGTATCTGCTAAGCTTGGACCTTCTTCGTGCCTTCAGGTAACTTGCTGCTTTTTGTATTTTTCCCAGTTTACAGTTGTTATCTCTGGGAGAGTTGTCCCCATAGGAACTTACTCAGTGATTATTCGAACCGGCGTCTTGTTAATTAGTCTTAATAATAATGCTTTCTATTTCTAACTAAAGCTTGTTGATATTAGGTGCTGTCAAGTCAATTCCAACTCATAGCGACCCTACGTACAACCAAACAAAATGCTGCCTGATCCTGCGCCATCCTCACAATCGTTGTTATGCTTGAGCTCATTGTTGCAGCCACTGCGTCAATCCATCTCATTGAGGGTCCTCTTGTTTGCTGACCCTCTACCTTACCAAGCATGATGTCTTTCTCCAGGGACTGTTCCCTTCTGACAACGTGTCCAAAGTATGTGAGACCATCCTTGCTTTTAATGGGCACTCTGGTTGTACTTCTTCCCAGACAGATTTGTTAGTTCTTTTGGTAGTCCGTGGTATATTCAATATTGTTCGCCAACACCACAATTTAAAGGCATTAATTCTTCTTCAGTCTTCCTTATTCATTGTCCAGCTTTCACATGCATATAAGGCGACTGAAAATACCATGGCTTGGGTCAGGTGCACCTTAGTCTTCAAGGTGACATCTTTGCTTTTCAACACTTTGAACAGGTCTTTTGCAGCAGATTTGCAATGCAATGCATCTTTCAATTTCTTGACTGTTGCTTCCGTGGGCGTTGATTATGGAGTCAAGTAAAATGAAATCCTTGACAACTTCAATCTTTTCTTCTTTTATCATGATATTGCTTATTAGTCCAGTTGTGAGGATTTTTGTTTTATGTTGATGTGTAATCCATACTGAAGGTTGTGGTCTGACCTTAACCAGTAAGTGCTTCAAGTCCTCTTCACCTTCAGCAAGCAAGGCTGTGTCATCTGCATAACGCAGACTGTTAATGAGTCTTCCTCCAATCCTGATGTCCCATTATTCTTCATATAGTCCAGCTTCTCGGGTTATTTACTCAGCATACAGATTGAATAGGTATGGTGAAAGGATACAACCCTGACGCACACCTTTACTGACTTTAAACCATGCAGTATTCCCTTGTTCTCTTCGAACAACTGCCTCTTGATCTATGGACAGGTTCCTCATGAGCACAATTAAGTGTTCTGGAATTCCCATTCTTGGCAATGTTATCCATAATTTGTTATGATCCACACAATCAAATGCCTTTGCATAGTCAGTAAAACCCAGGTAAACATCTTTCTGGTATTCTCTGCTTTCAGCCAGGATCCATCTGACATCAGCAATGATATCCTTGGTTCCACATCCTCTTCTGAATGTGGCTTGAATTTCTGGCAGTTCTCTGTCGATGTACTGCTGCAGCCGCTTTTGAATGATCTTCAGAGAAATTTTACTTGTGGACGATATTAATGATATTGTTCGATAATTTCTGCATTCGGTTGGATCATCCTTCTTGGGAATAGGCATAAATATAGATCTCTTCCAGTTGGTTGGCCAGGTAGCTGTCTTCCAAATTTCTTGGCGTAGATGAGCGAGCACTTCCAGTGCTGCATCCACTTGTTGAAACATCTCAATTGATATTCCGTCAGTTCCTGGAGCCTTGTTCTTCACCAGTGCCTTCAGTGCAGCTTGGACTTCTTCCTTCAGTACTGTCGGTTCTTGATCATGTGCTACCTCCTGAAACGGCTGAAAATCGACCAATTCTTTTTGGTACAGTGACTCTGTGATGCTTCCTGCTTTGATTTACTAAAGCAGCGCTCTTAAAAAAGTAAATAGCATGAGTACTTGTGTAACTAATAAATACGTTCTAGAACTTGTCAATCTTGAAATTTGACATAAATTAGCTTCATAATTTAACTTGTATTATTCTAGTATAAAGACTGGAACATGTTATTCAAATTAACATTCCAGTCTTTGTTTTATGTTTTTATACATGGAGTAGGGAGAGGACTCAATGCCACCCAACAACACGGGATAAAGAGCCAGATAATAACGAAAAGAAGCGATTAATTTTTTTCTCAGTCACGGGCGACACCTAGTGGCTGACGTACGGAAGTGGTTTTGTGCAGAGGCACAGAGTGTAGAAGTGAGGGGCAATCACAGCCCCCCAAACGGTCTACTCATGTCCCTTTTGGCCCCCCTCTAATCCATTTTCCACAGAGGAATCAGATATCTTTCCAAAACACAAATCTAACCATACCACCTCTTCCAATGACTTTCACTGCTTTTGAGATAAAGTCCTTAAAATCATGGCTTACAATGTCTCACCGTATCCCTTCCTCACGTCCCCCACCCCATCCCGTCTCCACCCATCCCGTCTCCCACCCCATCCCGTTCTGTGCTTCCCCTTGCTGTCCCCACTCAGTCACACTGCCTCCCGCTTCCCAAGCCCTTTCCCACCCCAGGACCTTGGCCTGTGCCGTTTCTTCTGTTTGGACCCATTCTTCCCTTCTCTCTTCATCTTGTTAAGACCACACTCACCCTCAGATCTCAGCTCAAGTGCTACTTCCTCAGGAAGGAGCTTAGACTGCTGATTTGGGAAGTTTCTTCTTTACTAATGTGAGCATTTAGGGCTATAAATTTCCCTCTAAGCACCGTTTAAGCTACATCCAAGAAATTACGATACGTTGCACTTTTTTGTTCAGTTTAAAATATTTTCTGATTTGTCTGGAAACTTCCTCTTTAACCCATGGATTATTTAGAAATCTTAATTTCCAAATATTTGGAGATTTTCCAATTATCTTTCTGTGGCTGATTTCTAATTTAATTCCATATGATCAAAGACATACATTATTTCAATTCTTTTAAATTTGCTGAGGTTTGTTTTCTATCTCAGAATATGGTCTATCTGGGTGAATGTCCCATGTGCACTTGGAAAGAATATAAGTTCTGCTATTGTGGGGTGAAGTGTTGTATAAATGTCAATTCCATCCAGTTTGCTGGTAGTGTTGCTCAGTTCTTTTATGTCCTTACTAATTTTCTGTCTACTGGTTCTATCAATTACTGAGAGAAAAGCGTTCAAGTCTCCGGTTGCGGCTTTGCCCGTTTCTCCTTGCGCATCTGTCAGTTTTCACTTCGTGTGTTTTAAAGCTGTGATGTCAGGTGTGCACACTTTAGGATTGCGGTCTCCTTGGTGAGCTGTCCTTTTTATCACTGTGTAATGTCCCTGTATCTCTGGTAATTCTCCTTGTTCTGAAGTCCACTTTCTCTGATATTAGTCAGACCCCAGCTTTCTTTTGAATAGTGTTTGTTAAGGTAAATCTTATTCCATCGTTCTACTTTTAACCTACTTATATTATTGTATTTACGGGGGTTTCTTCCTCATATAGTTGGGTCTCTCACTGTGGTCTGAATTCCATTTCCCCAATGACTTACCATGCTGAGCATCTTCTCACGTGCCTACTGGTTTTTCATAGATTTTCATTTTGAAGTGTCTGTTCAAGTCTTCTGCTTACTTAAAAAACTGGGTTATTTACCTTTTTATTTCTTAGATAACCTTGGCTTCTTCCCAGTTTTAGGGATAAGTATTTAATATTTCACTATTATTGGCTTTAGGTTCTTCTCGTAGCCCTTCACAAAAATGCAGATGCTCCCTTCTATTCCTAGTTTGTTGAGATTTTTTAAAAATCATAAATGAGTGTTGAAATTCATCAAATGCTTTTTCTACATCCACTGAGATGATCAAATGGTTTTTCTTCTTAGTTCTATTAATATGGTGAATTATAGTGATTGATTTTCAAATGTTAAACCAACTTGAATTCCTGGAATTCTTAAATATTGCTAGATTCTACTTGCTAATATTTTGTTTAGGATTTTAGTTTAAATTCATGAGGGCCTCTGGTCTTCTAATTTTTCTTTCTTGTAATATTTTGTCAGATTTAGGTATCATGTTTTTCCTGGCCTTCTGAACTGAGTTGGGAAGCATTATCTCTTTTTCTATTCTTTTAGAAGAATTTGTGTAAGATTAGAATTATTTCTTAAGTATTTGGAGGAATTCACCAATTAATCCATTCGGTCCTGGGGCTTTCTTGGTGGAAGATTTTATAGTTTCAATTTCTTTAACAGAGGTTATTCAAATTTTCTATCTTGCATCAGTTTCAGTAAATTATGTTCTTCAAAGAATTTATCAGTATAAAGTGTTTATAATATCCCCTTACTGTCTGTAGGATCTGTGGTGATGTCTTCATTTTCATGTCTGATATTGGTAATTTCTATTTTCTCTCTTTCTCTCTTTTTTAAGTTTATTGATCAGTCTCACTAAGCATCTCTCAATTTTACTAATCTTTCCAAAGAATCAACTTTTGTCTTTGCTAATTTTCTCTTTTGTTCATTTGTTTTCTATTTAATTAATTTCTACCGATATTTTTATTATTTCTTTTTTCAATTTTCTTTGGGCTTCTTTTTCTACCCTCTTGAGTTGGTAGCTTAGATCACTGATTTTAAACTTTTCTTCCTTTCTAATTTATGCATTTAAAACTATAAATTTCCATCTAAGCACGGTTTAAACTATATCCCACAAACAAATAAATTAATTTTTTAAGAGTTTTCAAACAGTTTGTTCTCTTGGGAATCAGGGAGGGGTGGAATGGAAAAGGACGTGAGGATGCTTTCTAGGCTGAAGGCAGCGCTCCGCATCTTGACTGGGGTGTTGGTTACACGGTTGTGTACATGTGTCAAACCTGCAAGGCTCTGCACACTTAAACCAGAGCTGCACACAGACCTTGGAAGCGAGGCATCTGTGCACACTGAGAACCCTGCGCAGGTTCACGGACGTTCACCGACTTTTCCAGCATCACATGCTGAGAAACTGACAAAACCAGGATTAAACCTAGGCCATCAGAACCAGTGTGGTCTAAACTCGGCCATACGTTATTTCATAGAAGTATGTGTATATATAGAGAGAGAGAGACAGACATCATGCAATAGATTTTAAATATGTGGCATTAAAAAGGCCAGTTTCCACTGTGGTGTGAACTTGTTTCACCCCTCAGGAAGCTCACCTTGCTACCATCAGACAGACAGAGGCGGATGTGTCTGCTGAGCACCTGTATGCTCGTTCCCGGAAGAGGAATCATTTTACAGCTCCACAGTGTCAGAATCAATGAAATACGACTTGTTCTTGACCTAATCTGAAAGAAAAATTCATTATAAAAAAGGCTTATTTTTACGAATCATAAGACAAATTAATTTTCCAAAATTATAAATACAATGAATATGTTTTTTGTTTTCTATAATGCATTCATCAATTTACATGTTATTTACATACTTGCAACGATGACAAAATCTGGAAGAGTTACCGGTTTACCATAGTAACTATACTTACGGTGCCAGCTTTCCCATCCCATATTAAATCTCTGAAGGCCAGCTGTGAAGGGGTGAGCTCTGGTTGTAAGAAGTAGCATGCTCGAAACTGATTCCCTGCAAAAATAATTTTTTCCTTTATTTTCTTACAAAAATATAATGAAATTCAAAACTAAAAACCCATGATGTCACACTACAAATGGAGGGAGCGGACACTTCGCGATGCCAAGCCGTTTACTAGGAATCTGCTTTCCCCGACAGATGTGCCAACATAGATTCACAGGTTAGAACATCAGCAGGAAACTCAAAGACATACGCACAAATTGCTGATCTTAAAACAGCTTTAAGAAAGACCTTAGAGACTTTTGGCTAATAACCTGCCCATGGTGAAGATGATCTATGTTTTTGTAAAATGCAGGAAGTCTATAACCAGCTTTTGGACATTTTAGGAAAACATACAACCATTAGTTTCACACAAAAGCATTTCTATACTACCCTTCCACACTGCAGTCACAAAGCAATACTTATTACAAAATCACTTATTTATTCATTTTCTACTTTGCACCAGGTTCTACGCTAGGAGCTAGAAATTCCCCTGTCAGTCACAGGGATGTGGCTCATACCCTCATTAGCTTACAGCTGAATGAGAGAAACAGCTGGAAAAAAAACAGACAAGCAAATAAAAATAAAATAATAGCTGACTCAGAGCTATAGAAGGTAGGTGAGTGAAGGGGACCTGTATTACTCAAGGAAGGCATCTCTGAGAAAATGGAATCTACCCCAAGACCCAAGGGATGAGAAGGATCTGGGCATTCGGGCGGGCTGGGGAGAGGACACCTCAAAGCCGCCCTTCCACAGATGGCACCTCAGGGTTCACAGAAGGCCTTCCTCCTTCCCCAAACAGGAGTCCTCTCTAAAATGAGCTCATACACAAAAGGTACCAAGTATGGGGAGTCAAAGAATAAATAAGAAAAACGGAAATGGTGAACGGAGGTAATTCTTAGGAAAAATTTTACTGTTTAGAGCAGAGAAAGAGGGAGGCTTCAACCAGCAAGGAACAGGACTGGAGGGGGTTGGTTCTTTAAAGTGGGGGGCAGCCGGTATGCTGGTACTGCAGGCGGGAATGGGGGAGGGAGCAGAGACTGACCATACAGGAAAGCGCTGATAATAACAGGAGTGACACTTTTGAAACACAAGTAAGAGCTGGAACCCAGCACAGGCACACAGACAGGTCTCTGACAGAGACAAGGTCACTGAGGACGGGAGAGTCCCATCTCTTACCCAACACTCATCTAGCTGTCGTACGGACATAAACATGTTAGTTACCTGCACAGTGACTGATTGATTTTGATTTCAAGAAAGAGTCATTGTATCTTTTTGGACTTAACCTAATTTACCTTAAGATAAGTGATAAAATAGTTGGCAATCTAAAAGATTTACAAAACAAGAACTGCACATAACTTATAGCCTGAGGTTATTTTTCTAATTTAAACTTTATTTTTTCTTTCAAGGACGGTGATGATGAAGATGAGAACAGCCTGTGATGTTACGGTTATCCTCGTGGTCAAGGATGGCTCCCCACCAGATCACACTCTGGTCAGCGGGAAGAGGGGCAGGAACAGGAGAAGGCACACTCTTCCCTTCAAAGTCCACAGCCAGAGGTTACTAACAGTGCTTCCTTCTCCCACGTCCCAGAATTCAGTCTCGTGGCCACGCTCTTCCAGGAATGGCGAAGCAATGAATCAGAAGGAGGCTTGGTCCCTAAGGCCCTGAAGCTACCATCTAACTCCTAACCGCCCTTGCCTGGCCTGTTACTTGCAAGAGAAGTTTCTCTTATAGTTTGAGCCACTATTAGAGAAGCCAAACCTACATCCTCATTAATTCACAGACAACAAATAGTTCGCAGCTATTTTTAAGAACAAATTAATCCACGTCTACTCCTTCCAGGAATATCTCTGTTGTATAGGTAAATAAGTGATAAATAGGTAGTTCAGTTTTTGAAAATGAAACAAAACGAAAACCAACAAAGCCTATCTATATCTATAAATGTTTGCAATGCCATAGAAAAACATGTGTGAAATATTCTGATTACTGCAGGAGCAGTGGTAATCTGGGGAAGGGGACAGTGGGCACCAATAACGAACTGGATTACTTCTAATTATATCACATTACTTTTGTAATTTAAAAAACTCCCAGTTGTGTAAAACTCAAAGACCTGGTATATAAGCTGAAGATTCAGAATAAACACTGGCCGAGACTTAAACGAAAAAAAAAAGGAAGGAAGGAAGGAAGAGTAGCCTATAAATAAGAAATCCTCATCCTATCCCACTTATTTCATAAACTAGCCATTAGTGAATTAGAGAGCAGACGGAAACCCTGGTGGTGTAGTGGCTAAGAGCTATGGCTGCTAACCAAGAGGTCAGCAGTTCGATTCTACCAAGTGCTCCTTGGAAACCCGACGGGGCAGTTCTAATCTGTCCTATAGGGTTGCTGTGAGTCGGAATCGACTTGATGGTTATCATCTCTAAAATTAAAATTATATAATTTTTTAAAAATATGAGTAAGAATTTATTCTGTAAGAAGAAGAGGTTTTGAGAGAAAGAGAAAAGAGAAGTACCTTAAGTTAATATTCATATAAACTTATTTTACACATTCTTTAAAAGATCTACATTGAATATGTCAGCCACAGCACATCTGTAATAAATAAATTACAAATAGACTTGAGATTTCTTCAAATATTCTGTTATAAATCCAAAGCCACTTGGTAATTATCTACTATACCCCTTCCCATTAAAGAAGACTTTAAACAAATCTCTTTTCTACTGGGATCAGATGATATTTTGGCCTCAGTGATGATACTTGTTTTGGTTTAAAAAAAAAAAAAAACCCATTGCCATCAAGTTGATTCTGACTCACAGTGACCCTAGAGGACAGAGAAGAACCGCCCCATAGGGTTTGCAAGGCTGTAATCTTTACAGAAGCAGACTGCCACATCTTTCTCCCGTGGAGTGGCTGGTGGGTTCCAACAGCTGACCTTTTGGTTAGCAGCCGAGCCCTTAAACCACTGTGCCACCAGGGCTCCTTTGTTCTGGTTATGATAGAAAAATCAGACTTAAACCTTGACTGCTTTACTAGAAGCGTGAGGTGGCTGGCAGACATGTGTTACCTTCCTCCAGAAGCTGGGAGAGCGTGGAAGGCCTGAACCCTGCAGGGATAGCTCCCATTGTGGTTAACACGTCAACAGTGTTTATCTGCTGAAAACAGGAAAAAACAAAATTGATCTGCCTGTTTTCGCTCATGTTTCCTCACCTCTGTGATACTTCTCCCTACCACTAGGGCAGCTACAGCCCCAAAAGGAAAACATAAACATGCAGACCTTAGTGGAAGATACAGCAATTCAACCCAAAATTCCTGAGAGGATGCCATCACTGAGGCCTGGTCTCTCTCTAGGACCTGACCCGCAGGCAGTGCTCAGTGCACAGAGCTCTGCTCCAGACTAGCTGCTCCCTGTACATCCCTCTGCAGACGTACCTGCTCCTGTCCCGCTCCACCAAACACTGCCATGTGACAGATGCGTCAGTGGCATGAACTCACACGCACTGAGGAACCAGTGGCTTTTACGTGTACATGTACTCGCACACACGTACACAGACACGTTTACACACACAGAGTAAATGGTTCATGGTGGTAACTCACAGGGGTGGGACTGGAGGCAAAGAGAGCAGAGGAAGGATTTTCATTTTGTTACATAATTTTTTAAAACGATAGCATTATGGGTAATTTTTACATTTTTGGGCTTTTCAGCATTTTTCAAATATTAACTGAAATTTAACATCAATCTTCATCTAATGATAGGAAATTCAGGGAGGATCAATGAGAGACATCCCCAAGCCCTCAGGTCGTACCATGGATGAGATTATCTACTCTTCTTGTCCCATAAGAAACGTTAGTGGGAGGACAGGCTTACTAAACCACATGTATGTCTTATGCTCTGCACCTCTGATGCTCCATATCTTGGTTAAGATCTAACACTATCTTCTAAAATCTCCACCCTGTTTTGAATCTGAACTTACTCAGAACCATAAGGTAGTAAGGTATCATGAACAAGACAGCAGACACCAACCTCTGAGATAGATTTCCGAACAGCACTCCAGTGCGAACCAGCTCTGGGGAGACACAAACAGCAAGGTGAGCACAGGGATGGGTGATGCTGACTCACTCAATCAGGGACATGTCACTAATCCAGGGACAAAATACTGTATCGCCAGTAAGTTCTGAAAACCTGACAGTCCCCAGAGGGAACCAAGATAGATATTCACTAACAATAATCGCAAAATTAAAGTTGTAATGATCTTTAAGTAAAACAGTTAATATGAAAAGTTCTGTTCTCAAGGTACAAGTTGTCTCCATTTCAAGAAACTCTTGAATTATATGTAAAAATAAATAAATAAAAAGTTTACTAAACCTATTTTGATATCCTCTCAGTCTTTTCTTACCTTTGCTTAACTTCTGCTCCATCTGCTGCTTCATCCACCACCTCCACATCTTCTTCACTTCCTTCCTCACTTGATTCTTCGCCTTTTTCTTTATTATTGGGCTGAAAAATCATTGAAATATGAAGTCCCTTATACTAAATGCAAAAATCAGCTAAAAAAAAAATACCAGCACTTTCAGAAATAGACCTAAGTGTAAAGTGTAGTCAGGAATTTAGAATATGATGAGTATATAAAAAAAAAAACAGTGGGGAAAGATTTTCAACACATGATTTGATAACCCTGTTCTTTAGCAAAATTACAAGGACTTAGGTAGAGGTGAAGTTTAATCAAAATGAATTCAAGATGAAATTTATTCAAATGCCAAAAAGATAAATAGAAATATAAAAGTATTAGAAGAAAATAATCTTGCGATGGAGAAGCCCTTCTCAATTATTACATCAAAGCCAAAAACCATAAACAGAAATAACATTGACAGATAAAGCTACATAAAAAATAAACATGTCTGAAAGACAACAGAGAAAGTCTCTGTCACCAAGTTAGAGGGATTAATATTTTACTATTAAGGTATTACAAAAACTCTTATAAATCAGTAAGAAAAAGTTTTTTTAAATCCCTTAGAAAAATGGCCAAAAGAACAGAAAAGGAAATTCACAAGTGAAAAAAATACACATGGTCATAGGGCAGATGAAATGATGTCCAATCTCACTAGCAGCACAGAAATGGGACTGAAAACAACACGCGGCTTTTTTGCCAGTCATGGGGCCAAAGTCACGAGGACTGATGGCGGCCTTCACTGGCAAACGCGTGGAGAAGGACGCACTCTCGATGCTGCGGGTGGGAGTGTGAACCGCCATAAATCTCGTGAAAGGCAACGTGAAAGGGTCAACCCTTACGACAGTCAGTTGATCAAAGAACATAGCATACTGTTTTATTAAAAATGTAAAAAAGTTTTGAAGGAGAAAAAAGAAAGAACACACAAAAGCTACTAACCTCCAAGTAGGTTCTGGGAACAAGGCCTTTATTCCCTTTGGCGTTCTCAGCTACCCACCAACCATCAGGCTGCTTTTCAGTTATCAGGAGAATTTCCCCTTTCTCAAAGCAAACAAAGGTAAAAATTAAAAAAATAAAACTCAACAATCATGAGTATATTTCATTACTAATGCTTCAAAACGCAGGCTGAAAAAAAGGTAAGGTCTTTTCTTCATCCATTATTTATTCTAAGTTTTATCAAAAGCTTCCCCACACACTACCTCTAAACCACAGAGGACCATAGATGGATGATTTGTTTTGGTTATTTAGCTATTTTCACACATACGCAAACCATAAATTCAAGTAGGAACCATCTTTCACAATCACTTCCAGGTGCCTAACACTTATTCCAACAATTCCATCACTGTGCAAAATACTTTCTGAATCTCTCTATGGAAAAACATTTTCAGAGGCAGTATATAAGCTCCTAAACCAAACCAACTCTATTAAAGTGAAGCCCTATTTTGAAGCAGAAAATATTTGAAACAAAAAATTTACCTAGCACAATATACCCACCTCATTCATCAGATATGTTCTGAATAACACTCATCCATTTAGAAAAACACAATCAATCTCTGAAGAATTCCACTACCGAGAACACTCAAAAGGAAACACTTAAAATACACATTATTGTCTAACATTGATGACATTTTCAAGGAGAACTTGGAAAAAAATCCCTAGGAACTAAACAATAAAATTAATAGTACAATATTCTTGTGTATTTTATTATCAGTCAGTTATTAAGCTATGAAACTTTATAAATATAAGGGCCAGGAGTCATATATTCATTAAAATTTCTTTGGCTCATCTTTCTAGCAATAAACACAGCCTCAGATCCTTTTAGAGCTCTCAACCTTATTCTTCCTTTCCACCTGCAACTTAGGCACAGCCAAGCAAGCATGGGGGCAAAGGAAAAGAGTAAGTCAATTCCTCCTGAAGCCCCTCCTACCGAGTCAACAAGAAGACAGCATGGAGGGTTCCCTTCTGTCTCCATCTTGGTACACCGCCCTGATTATCTCAACAAATATACACATATGATAAGAGTAAACTGCAGAATTTTACCCCTAAATTAGGAATTATCAACATGAAAGCTATTTTCAACAACAACAACAAAAGAGCATGTGCTCTTGCACCATTCTGCCATCAGGTAACTTTAATAACCCTAATTATTATTTACTTCATTTACACTTAATACCAGGAGTATGTAACACAGACATACAGAGTTTTCTTATTCTATTAGGCACGCTACCTTGCCCTTACATTAAATCCCAGTTTTGTGTCTACCTACCTGGAATGTAAGATCCCCAACTTGTTGAGCAGCAAAATCTCCCACAGCAACATATTCTCCCCTTGCTGCCTGTCTGTGAGACTCATTTCCCTGTTTCTCCTCCTCTTCCGTCCCTTTTTCTTCCTCACCACATTCTTCACTGTTGTCTTCATCATCCTCCTCATCCTCCTCATCATCACCTTCCTCAGCAGAATCATCATCTTCCTCTCTTTCAGTAAGTGTCCCAGTTCTACACAAAATAATGGTATGACCAGGATCATTTGAAATAACATGCAAGAACAGACCAAGTCTGAGTGCAACTTCTGTATAGAACTGACCCCGATTTGGAGCTGGCAGATAAAGGAACCGAGGAGGAAACACAACTAACATTTTCCACCATCTAGCTCAAAGCGCCTGACTTGAGAGACCGAGAGTGGAGACCGAGAGAAGGTATCTGAGCAATGCATGTGATATGGCTGAGCGTGTGCAGGACTTGAGGTCAAGAGACTTGAACCCAGCCACTCAGCAGACGCTGACTGAGCGTTACTGTACGGTGGTCAGAGCACCGGCTTTGCGTTAAATTCTGGCTGTATCTCCTCCTCGTTGTGTGACTTTTGGTAGGCTCCTTTTAATCTTTTCATTTTTCATCCGTAAAGTGAAGATAATAATAAAGACTGACTGATAAGATTGTTGTATGGATTAGATGAGTTACAACTTGCAAAGTATTTAGAACAGAGCCTGCCCACAGTAAGCTTTCAATGAAAGTCAACAATGATGATGATGATGTTACATGTTAGGTTCCATGTCAGGCTCACTGGATACAAAGTTAAACGAGACACAAGTTGCTGTTCTCCGAGAAGCTTACAGTGGGACAATCTAGAAATGGATAATCACAATATAGTTCATACAGCACAGCTGCATACAGAGGAAATGCACAAGAGGGACACCTCACCCAGCCTTCACAGGCAGGGATCAGGAGGAGCTCAGAATCAAGTCCTGAAGGATGAGTTGGAATGAATCAGGTAAAAAGAGAGTAGAAAGGAGGAAGAAGAAAAAAGAGGCTCAGGATTAGAAAACTTCAAGCAGGGCAAGGCTTGGAGGAAATCAGCAAGAGGGAAGGTTGAAAACAATGGACAGAATGCCACCCACCTGAGCTTTACTTTTAAGACGAAGAAAGGGAAGCGCATGATCAGGCCTGCACTTTAGAAAGATGACGAGGGTACCATGTGGAGGACAGACGGAAAGAAGAAAAGCTGAAGGCAAGGATGGCGTTAAAGGTGAGAAATAACAACAGCATGAACTAAGAAAACAGCGTTAGGGATGAAGAGAGAGACCTTCTGGGAAGATATTAAAGTGGTGAAATGGGAGGTGAAGAAGACAGAAGCTGAGATGATAGCAGCTTGGATAAATCACTAAAACTTTCTGAGCTCCATTTATTCATTCAAGTTAAGCAAAGTCATCAAATATTTACTGGGCACCTACTACACGCCAGACACTATGTGCCTGGGATACAACAATAATAAAACAAAAGCCCTCACCCTCCGGTCATGGATTGAACTGTGTCTCCCGAATACGTGTGTCAATTTGGCTAGGCCGAGATTCCCAGGACTGTGTGGTTGTCCACCATATTGCCACGTGACGTGATTATCCCACATGTTGTAAATCCTAACCTCTGTGATGTTAATAAGGCAGGATTAGAGGCAGTTATGTTAGTGAGGCAGGACTCAATCTACAGGATTAGGTTGTATCTTGAGTCAGTCTCTTTTGAGATATAAAAGAGAATCAAGCAGAGAGGAGAGGGACCTCAAACCACAAAATTTCTTGTGGGCAGGGACCATGACTTACACGTCTTTATATTTCTCATGGGATCTAAACACATTCTCTTATACACAATAAATAAATGTTGACTGATTATACTTTTACCATCACTTGCTTATGTCTGCACTGTTATATGCCTTTATTCTGAATTAAACATTAAAAGTTTTGGTCATACAATATCTGAAAGAAAGAAAAAATGAAGGAAGGACACGCACTCAGTTATACTTTCTCTGCTTATGGCCACAGCGAGCTCTTGCAGTTGGTGGGTGAGTTTATCCAAAAGATCACGCTCCTCTTCTTTCCTCTGACTGTAGTTCCCTACAGGTGCAGACTCATCAGCCTATGAGAGAATACAAAGCTACCTCACTGAAAAATTACGTTCAGTTTCCTACTGTATTTATTTTATACGAATAAGAAAAATTCCAACAAGTGTGATAAGACGAAGCAAATACAAAAATGGGACCACATCTATTTTAGGGAAGTAAGTACAATTTAAAAGAAATGTAGATGACTGAGTTGGAATGCAAACCCAATGAAAAAATAAAACCACACCACCTGTGTTCTGTGTTCTGTTTTCTTGTTAAGTATTACAGGCCTTCCATAATCAGTAAGGGACAGGTTCTAGACAGAAGGTTGGCCTTGTGGTCAAAAAGACAGGTGACAATCCCAAATTCTGCTCCTTAGTGGCAGTGAGACACTGAGTAGCTGCTTCACCTGTGTGAGGTGTCCCCTCATCTGGGGGGCAGGAATAACCAGGCTCTAAACTCAAGGGCAGTCTGCTTCCTAAGCTAAGAGTGCTGTGCATCTGGGGGGCAGGAATAACCAGGCTCTAAACTCAAGGGCAGTCTACTTCCTAAGCTAAGAGTGCTGTGCA